ACCTCTTTTGCACCTTGATCCTCCTTTCCAAAGGTAATTAGTCTCCTGAGAAGCCCTAACTACGAATGTACTACGTGTAATCTACCAACTGTCCTTAAAGTGCACTCAGATCCAGAGGAACTGAGACTTCACTGTTGAAAGGTTCTGCAACTTTGATTTTGGTAAAGGTTGTTTGGTTCCCCCCCTTCCCTCTGTTTCTTTTCCATGTTTTGTTGTGGAAAGGTAAGAATTATTTTCAAGTTGTTGAAACGTTAGGAAATTCTCTGTGGGAAAAACTTCTTGGTTTTAGTACAGATTGCATTGATTTAGTCAAATGTACTAGAGAGACAGTAAAAACTTCTAAAGCCTCTCCATACTTTTCTCGTTCCAGATTTCATATGGGCTCCGTTTTAAAAGCAGAAACACCACTTATAGTTTGTGTTGCCCCATCTTCCTAGGACAAGGAGAGAAGCCCTTGCCCTCTAGCAATTATTATTTACAGTATTCAGCCTCTTTACGGATTACTCCGTTTTCAAATATAATTAAATATAACTGAATATTTGTTTAGTTCTAATGAACATCTGGGATGCTGCTTCCTTCTAAGATTCCAGAAATTGTGACTCGTTGTCATCTAACACCTGGGAGAAAAGGCATAAGGTGGGAAGGATCAACAGATGGTACTCCAGGAGTATGAACGATCCTGTAGCCTACTCATACAGAGCTTTATTTAGCTCCCTGCCTCTTTTTGCAGCTGTACCTGCCCTGTCAGCATCCAGCTGTCAAACCTGCACCCTACCAAGCTCAGCCTCTGTGTTTAGTCTTAGTTACCACCTCTCCTTCCCTCTCTGCACATTGGCAAAACCACCTGATGTGTGAGGCTGTGAGATTGTGTATACCCAAAGATATTAGAGGAGGTATTAATTTGTTCCAGCTCAGGAACCCTGTGATCTGCCCCACAGTTCATTTTTACTCCAAGTTTTTTGAATGGTTTGATGGTTTCATCTGCAATAGTTTCATGGCAAGGGGGTGGAACTAGGTGATCTTTAAGGTCTCTTCCACCTCAAAACACTCTGTGATTCTATACATTTAGCAGATACTACTAATATCATCTTATTGCTGAGCAAGTAAGTGGAAAATTACAGGGAATGAGTTTCCAGATGGATGTCTAACTAACAGTTACTGTTTGTACCATCAATAAAGTTTGTAAATAAAGTAGAAGCTTTACATTTGCTGAAGTCCTGAAGCCCAAGGAGAGACCAGCTCTCTGTCTGAGGAGACTTTCAATCAAGTAGGATAATCCTTCAGATGCCTGTGATTGATTTTCATTGCCCAAAGCCTATGCTTGTTGTGTTAAATAATGTATCTGCCCTGCGAGACAGGCAGTAATTCTCTCTCTGCTGGAGCTAAAAGTGTTGTATCCACCTCCCAACTGGGAGCAACACACTCCCTCTACCAGTGTTAGACACAGAAATCTGGGGCAGATTATAGGAAAAAAGTGAGCACACAACAACATTTCCTTTGTGCATCCTCCCAGCTTTCAGCAGTGTGCAGCTTGGTTATTAATGAAGTTTTCTTGCATGAGTCCATCTAACTTTCTTAATTAGGCTCTCCATAGCCTCCTGAAGCAGGGAGTTGACCAGTTTAACTGCTCACGTGGAATCAATCAGCAAAAACCAAAAAATAGAGCACATTGTGTGCTGGTGGATACAGGAAAGAATCCTGTAGGCAAACCATTCTGGTGCCCTTGACGAAGGACACTTTATCCAGTTATGCTAAATGGAGCTATGTATGAAAAAGAATGGGATTTAGCACTGTTAAGACATCTTATTCTGGTCCCCTTTGGGCATTAACCCAAAGTTTATGGGGAAAATATATTGTCCATGTGTGGTAAAATATCTTAACTCTTCTGCATGTCCCACTGCTGCAAAGTACAGCAGTGAGAAACTTAGGTTTTAGTGTCTATTATGGGTTTTTTTTTCCCTTCAAAGTGGAAGTGAAAACAGGGAAGTAATTCAGAGATAATTTCATGATCCAAATTACTTTTTGTGCATATATAGCAAAGTACACTAATATAAATTCTGAGCTTAGACTGGATGGTTCACTGAGAAACAGTTTAATTTATCACATTAATTATGTAATTAAAGCATGAAGGAAACAGTGGTTTAATTGAATACAGGCAATGTTTATTTGTTCACACAGGTATTTTGCATCCTTGTAAATTCATCAAATGAAGAAAATGTTTGCATCTCTTTAATTGGAGGGCCTAATTTATCCTTTTTTTAACTACCTCCAAATATATAAAAGTTGTTTGTTTATTCATGCATGGAAATTGAGTAATTTCCTTCTTAGAAAAAGGTAAAGAGTGCAGGAAAGTTAGTTCTTATTGTGGAAATCTGTACAGAAATGCAGAACATACATTCATTTATCTCCCTCTATAATTGTGCCATAAAGTAACACATGCTTGGTTATAATTCTAAAAGAAAATCTTATCTGTAAACCATATGCTCCACAATGCCCTTATGCAGATTGTTATTTTTGTCTGACAGTATTCAAGTCAACCATTTTTTTAAAAAAAACTCACAAAGCAGTATAACATTTTGCTTTTTGCTTTCATCTCTCACACATGCACATACAGATATTTGACACTGCTGGCTTCTGGTGGGATGCATGAACTTTTGTGGGATATGGAGTACAGATGACCTTTCAGCTTCATTATTGTACAGTTCATTTTACTTCATTTATACTATTATTATTTTCAGTTATACTAACCAGGCTGGCATTACCTTGCAGTTCTGCTCTTTTATTCTTTCTGCAAAAATAAGATTAAATTATTAATCTAAAAGAATTTACAGCAGGAGGGGTTTGGTTTGTTGTTTTTTCTTGTTTTCCATTTTTGTGTTCGTTATTGATTTGATTTAAATTTTCCTGTGGAGACAGTAAAATATTTGAAAGGGCAGATCAGAGAACTGACATGAGTCCCTTTGGTTCTTTCTCCACTCCAAAGCCCAGTCTGCAAAACATGGTTTTAAACAAATAACTTGAGGCTTATGATTGCTTTCAGTGAGGCTAATGATCTAAATTAAGTGACTTACACGAATCGGTCTTGTGAGGATGCAGGACATGCATGTAGGAAGTGAGATGGGCACCTCAGCTGGTAACAGAGATAAATGAACTCCTGAACTCACTGTCTGATTATCTCAGCATTCTTGTGCAAGCTTTTTCTTGAAAGGAACGGGGTGGGAGAAACTCAGGGCAAGATAAGGAACAAGATCATCCTCAAGAATCGCTGCCACTCATATTGCTGGGTTCAACCATCACAAATTATCTTTTACTTTTTCTATTCATGCTTTTTTTCCCTCCTTATTTCTCCCTTCCTCACATCATATCCTACACGTTTTCCTTTTTTCTTCCTGTCTCATTTCCTCCATATTCTCTTCTGGTCACATCTGGGATTGTTGTGAGGTAGAAGCTTTCCAGCTTTAAGACTTATCAAGTCTCTAAAGTGATACCGAGAAAGAATGAAACAAAGTGAGGAGCTGAGACACCGTAGAGTCTAAAGGCACCAGGATGTGTATTTGAGAAAACAGCCTCAAGTTACACCAAGGAAGATTAAGATTGGATATGAGAAAATATGCCTTCACTGAAAGAAGCATTGGAACAGCCTGTCCAGGGAACTGGTGGAGTCACCATCCCTGGAAGTGCCACAACCTGTGGATGTTTAGTGGTGGCCTTGGCAGTGCTGGGTTAATGGTTGGGCTTGATGATCTTAGGGGTCTTTCCCAGCTGTAATGATTCTACGATTCTGTGATTCAGACTCAGCACTCCACGTCTTCCCTAGCATTTGAAAATCTTGATAGAGCTCATGTTTGCCAACTGATTAATTAATAGCTAAGTAAGAAGTGGCATTTTTATTGTTGGAGTGCCCATCTGGGATTTTTATGAATAATGGTTGTTAGTTCAACAGAATTCAGGTGATTTGGTAATAAATATGAACTCTGTGGATGACAAAGTGATGTGCAGTCACGCATACAGTCAGATGCCTGCCTCATAAGAGGTACCTGTTCAACAAAATTAGTTTTAATACAGGTGCAAAGCCATGTCTTTCAGAGGAAGGAATAAAAGGCATTCTGCCCATGTGGAGGACCATTTTTGGGAAATCAGACAGACTGAAAAGTGGCTTTAGAGTTGGTGTTGTCAAGCAGCTCTGCCTCAGCTGTCCACAAAACTATGCAGCAATAAAGGAACATGAAAAATCCCTGCTTTTACAAAGAGATAATTATTCAATAAACAAAGTTACCTCTTAAAATAACCTTGTTGAGGATGAAAATGGAATATTGCATCCAGTTCTAATACCCTTGTATTATGTGTGGTACTATCTCATTTTCTGTTCCAGTCCTACCTATGCAATCAGTATCCTGTCTATCTTCCCAAAATGCACAATTTTATTTTACTGAGAGTCCATTTCAACCCAGACCTAAAATTAGGGGCAGATTCAGAGATGCTCTTACTTTCTCTAAAGTGTTTCACTAATCACTCCCTGATGGCAATAAAACAATTGCCAGGGAAAACACAAATGTAATAATATTGTCACATAAATGAAAAGGTGCCACAAATGAAAGCATTTACAGATTATTTGTGTGCTGAAAATACTTGAGAACAGACAAGTGGCAATTGGTTTGCAACATCTCTGCTGGGAAACTCCATACAATTATAATTAGTGCTCTGACTCTTATTATTCTAACTTGGTTGGGAGATAGACTGCAAATGACTTTTTAATGGCTTTGGTTGTGAATTTTTCCTTTGTTATCAGACCATAACAGCAACAAGAACAGTATTCTCACTCTACTCAATCTGCCAAAGTGTCCTTTGGACCAGATGGTTTTGGCTTCACTAAACTAAATTTAAATCATTAAATTATTGCATTGTATCCCGTGTTATCATCTTGGCAGACCTGGCAGCTAGAAGTTGGTTTCCATCAGTAGCTTTTGGTCCAAGGTAAAAATTTACTCAATAGGGAATGATTTAAGTCTATCCAGTTATTTGCTTTATTGGTACTTCCTTCTACCACTCATTCATATTCCCAACTTCATCCAGGCTCTCCTACAATGCAGGATAGGTGATTATTGTTTTTGTTGGGAAGCGATGGTTGGTGTTGACAAAACATAGGATCAATAAAGAATTGTAAGTGATCAATTCTCTATTGTTCTTCTGTTCCTTTATGTTTCCCAGAGTTAGGTCACCTGGGGAAATAGTGGAGATAAACAAAAGATTAAGGTAGTTAGGAAAAATGAGGGGAGTAATGAAATTCTAGTCCTTTGACAGATATGAGTGGAACATCAATAATGACTAAATGCATTTGCAGTGTTTGCTGTAATAATCTAAATAACATAATAAGGTCTCCTGTTAATAAAAAAGATTGAAAAATATTAAGAACACTTTATTGTAACAAAAATTAACAATTTCTATTCATTTTCATGTATTTATAGTACTATATTAGTCACCATAAAAATGTGAATGGCTTTAAAAAGGGATTTTGCTAATTTTTTTCTTTTTCTGCTATATAAGGAAATCATTGTACCTTTATGATAATTGTAAGGGGTTTTTTTTAAGAAAATTGAAGAAAACAGAATGAAAAATCCTACCCATCTTTTCAGTGAAGAGCATTTCAAATATCGTTTTATACACAGTGTGGAAAAAAAACAATTAATGCAGGCTCTGAAATCAGGAATTAAAGAGACAAAATAACAGGACAGAGATAAGCAGTTGTGAGGGGAACTAAAATACTAGCATGGGGATGAGTGCAGTAAATGAATAAGACTTGGTTAATGACACAATAAAGAAACTGAGGAGTAGAATGGGGACGGCAATCTGAGAAAAACTCATTTTGTGAAGAAGGATGGAAAAGTTCTAACAGAGTGACCTATAGCTCAGATATTGACTGGAGAAGACTGGAGCATATTGATCACCAATCCACTTCAACACTGAATAAGCACCGAAATCAGAAGGTGGTGCTTTTTACATTTGGTTAAACAAAGGCTAAGGATGTTCTGGAAAATTTAAAAGTGAAAAGTAAGCTGCACTGAGGGTGAACTTGATTTATGCTATATAGAAATAGGTAAATTTTTTTATGTGCATCCAAGATCACAGGATCATAGAATCACAAAATTTTTTGGCTTAGAAGGGACCTTAAAGACAGACTAGTTCCAAACCCATTCCACCCCTTCCAAACACCTTCCACTAGACCAGGTGGCTCCAAACCCCATCCAGCCTGGCCTTGAACACTTCCAGGGACAGGGCAGCCACAGTGTCTCTGGACAAGGTATTTGACTGCAAGTGACTGAATTTGTGGACAAAGAAAATTAAGAAAGAAGAAATTATGAAAACCTTCCACTTAAATTCCCTGGACTGAAGAATCCACATATAAATCCAACTTTCAACCAGTTATAATGGCAAACAATTCATGATGATCATATTGTACCACTGAACATGCTGTAATTGCATGTGATCTCTCTGAATTCATCCTAATTTTTGTCGATGTGACATAAAAATGATATTCCAGGATCTCCAGGGTCACCCTTCTAACTCCTACCACCTTAGTTTTCTCCATCTTGAAGTCAGCAGTTCTCTGCACCAGTGTGGGAGAACGTGAATGCCTCTTTAATGTGGAAAAAGAAAAAAAAAGGTTGTGTGGAAAATTAAGGCAAGAAGAAATTAATGAAAATGCAAGTAGCAGCAGTAATTAAAGCCTCTGTCTTTATAAAGATACTCAATGTCCCCATTCACTTCTTGCTCATATTGCCTGCCCCTTTTCCATGGCATGTGACCATATGTTTAACAATTAGCTTGGAACAGATTTTTCTGTGCAATTTTTATTGCCCTTATGTCAATCCTAGGCTGTATTTTGCATAAAATTAGTCAAAAAATCAGTGGAAAAAGAAAGTATAATTTTAATTGCAAATTAAAGTGCTGTGATCAATATTCCAAACATGCTGAGCTATAATATCAGAAACCGTACTAAGAATAACATTTATATGCAGCTATTCCTTTCTGACAGATTTTCTGCCTAAATACCATGCCCAGTAAGAAAAAGAAGACAAACAGTGAAAAATCTCATTCTGGGAACACACTGTGTGATCAGGAGAACAATGTAGAAATCAAAGATGTCCCTGAGGGATATGTTTGTCTGAGTCAGTTCAAAACCCTTTAAACTGGTCTTTCAAAAGAACATGATGCTCTTATTTGTTCTGTTTTGCAGCAATGTGCTGATTAATGCTTGTGCAAATTTTGAGAAAACTAGTTTGGCATAAGGATTTGCTTTCCTTCACCCCTTCTGCTCCCTCTTTTTTTTCTTTTTTTAATGGACTCACAAGCTGACTAAGCCAAGATCAAACTTAAAGAGGACACTCAAAGAAACTTTGGTGCAAAAGGAGGTAGCAAATGCTGAGGCTTCTGTTGTTGTTCCTTAGTGGGGGAAGGCAGAATTGTACAGCTGTGTCATAGCTCCATATTTATAAAAAATAATTACAAACAATCTTTCACTGACACAAGAGATTTCCAGATTTGGAAGGGATTCCTGGGGATATCAAACTTCCCCTAACAATGTAGGCAACTATGTCACAGAATCATAGAATCATAAACACATAGAATCAAAAATTAATAGAATCCTAAACACATAGAATCAAAAACTAATAGAATCCTAAACACATAGTATTGTAAAATCATAAACTCATAATCATAGAAGCACAGAATGATTTGGGCTGGAAGGGGACCTCAAAGATCATCTAGTTCCACCCTCCTGCCATGGACAGGGACACCTTCCACTATCCCAGGTTGTTCGAAGCCCCATCCAACCGGACCTTGAACACTTCCAGGGATGGGGCAGCCACAGCTTCTCTGGGCAACCTGTGCCAGGACCTCACCACCCTCACAGCACAGAATTTCTTCCCCATATCTAATCAAAACCTGGTCTCTTGTCAGTGTGAAGCCATTCCCCCTTTTCCTGCCATTCCAAGTCCCTCTCCAGCTCTCTTGTAGCTTGTAGGCACTGGAAGGGGCTCTAAGGTCTCCCTAGAGGCTTCCCTTCTCCAGGCTGGACACCCCCAGTTCTCCCAGCCCATCTCCAGAGCAGAGGCACTCCAGCCCTCTGAGCCTCTCCGTGGCCTGCTCTGGACTTGCTCCAGCAGCTCCACATCCTTCTGATGCTGGGGGTCCCAGAGCTGGACACAGCATTGCAAGTGGGGTCTCACCAGAGCAGAGAGGGGGAATCATCTCCCTCGACCTCCTGGCCATGCTGTGGGGCTGCAGCCCAAGATACAGTTGGCTTTCTGGGATGCCATTGCACATTCTTCGAGGAACAAACTTAAAGGCAGTTGCACAGCAGATACTACAGAAAAATGATGTGCTCTTTTTAAGTATTGACCTCACAGTCTCTGCTGGCTAGGGTGTTATAAGTACTATGGTGATGATCTCACATAAAAAAATCTCCACTGAGCAGCAAACACCTAGCAGAAGAGGTGAGAATAGAGGAATAGAGTCCTTCTTCTAGTTCAAAATATCACAGATATTTTTAATGAAAACCTCACTTTGCCAGAGGACTGATGCTGCATATAGCAAACTTGCTGCTCCACTTTTTCTCTGCCCTGATCTTTCCAGTGTAAGCAATGAGATTCACAAAACAACTTCTTACATCACAGCAGGAGTGGGAAAAAGCTTGCTTTAAAATACAGCATGTTATTTCATCTCTGTGTGAGTCAAAATACTAGGAAACTTACTTTCCTGCAGAATATTTACCTGCCTTGGACAGAGTTGCAGGTTTTAAGTAAGTTTTGGAGAAAAAAATCTGCAGTGTGACATCTCCCACAGTGAAGTGCTCTAAGAACATATTGTGAAGCATTGTGAAGGGGAAGAGAGTAAAATGTGTCATCGTTTAAAAAAACAAAACAAAAACCAAAAAAAAGTTACTGGGAAAACTCAGCAGGAAAATGTAGATACTATTTTGGGTGGAATGGAAAAAAAATACAGGAAATACGAGCAACCAGGTTTAGTGGATGATGTCCTTACCCAGACAGGGGGGTTGGAACTAAATGATCTTTTGAGGTCCTTCCAACCCAAAACATCCTACAGTTTTATGATTCTATGACTCTCTGACACAGTTGCCTAAACTGTTATGGGAGGTTCAATGTCCCCAGGATTCTATGATTCCATGATACCACTTCTAGTTAATGCCTAGGGCACACAAGGATTGACTCTGCTCACTGATTATGGGTCTCTGTTCCTCTGGTGGCTGGATCCCACAGAAATTTTTGTCTAAGATACAACTGGGGACATCTGAACTGAGGCAACATGCCAACTGCCAAGGTGCCACATTAAAACCCGCTGGGGACCCATGTAGAGGTGCTGAACATTTGATTACTGGGGAGATTTAAGCTTACTGGGAGGTACACAGACTCACTGGTTAGGACAGGGCTAAAATCAAAAATATAGATTGAAGTCTTCATTTGTGGATGGAATTAAGCAGGAAAATGCTGTCATTAGCCTTGCAAAAAGTTGCTCAGGTGTCTGGACCAAAAGGAACTAGTGCAGTCAAGAAGCCAACCAAACAAAAGAGTGAGTGGCAGCATGTTTAGAGACTGTTGTGAAAGTCAGGTGGCCAGAAAGACTGTACAGCAATCTCAGATATGACAAATGAGAGACATTTCACTCTGCCTGTCCATTTTTCTACCTCTGAGAGTGGTGTTTTGCAAAACATCTGCCAGCACGAAAAGCGGGGTCTGTTCTGCTCTCCCCTCTGCGCTTCTGCTGCTTCCCTTGTACTGTGCCTACAGACACAGGAGCTTACAGAGAGAGGATGTGACCTGAGTACAGTTTGGGATTGTACAGCTGAAAGGTCCTCTGCAGATACAAAAGCTTTGTGAGCAAAATAAGAAGAATAGAAAGAACAGCTTTGCTGTGCCTTGTGTGCTGTGAGCAGGAAGGCACAGGAGATGAAAGCTCCCTCTGCTCTCCCCAGGCTGTGTGTGAATCCAGTGCTGCAGCTGGGTGGGAACAATGTGCACAGTGGAACAGTGGGTGCAGAGGAGGCAGCATGTGCCCTGTGTGTGTTTGGAGAGGTTATACTTGCACCTAGCTCTGCTCTTATGTTGGTTTGCCCAGATCAGGCTCTAAACAAGTCATCACAAATGATCGAGTTGACTCTTCTCAGATGAATAGTGGCATCAATATTCTGGGCTTGCTCTTCCATTGCAAATGTAAAGTAAAATCTGTGTGTGCCTTGTCTGTGGACTTCTAAAAACATATGACAACAGCTGTGGAAAAAGAATGAAAGTGGCTCACCAGGAAACCTCAACATCTCAATCCCACAGTTGCTGAGCTTGAAAAAAATATGGTAAATGATGATGTTACATACTGAGAAAATGTAGCTGTTTTAGTTATTATTATCTATAGTAATACAAAAATATAAATATATAAAGATATGACTTAATATATTTAAGGAAAAAAAAGAGAAAGAAAGAATAAAAGTAGGTAGTGGAGAGGAAAGTTATCACTGCCCGTGGATCCAGCAAGGGGACTTGTTGCAATTTAGGTGTCCATTGGTGGAAGTGATGGTCTCAGCCTTGATCCGTTGGGAGTGGGGGAATGCCATGGAACATAGAGTTCAGAGGGTTGATAAATGTTCTTGTTTACATGGGAACACCCAGGCGCCTCCCCTGGAGGGAG